CCCTTCTTACTCAGACTATATGAACATACTCGGGCATAACGGCATTTCGGACAGAGACCCCTTCTTACTCAGACTATATGAACATACTCGGGCATAACGGCACCATCCCTCGGCTAAAAGCCCACTCAAGTTCATATTTCTTATAAGAAGAGCACTCTGAAATAAAATGGTTTCATAGATCGGAAGCTTTCTGATACACAGGATCCTCTTTCGAGGCAAGTGTAGAGCATACTTGCATCTAAGTGGGGAACGACATTAAGAATTATAAGCTTCAAGTTTTCAGAGAAAGGAAAATTTAGAGAGATAGCATTTTAGAAAGGGAACTTGTATTGATTTCACTTGATTTCATTCTGCCTTACAAGTTTACAAGCATCCCCTATTTATACACACGGAATCCAAACCTTCGCTAAACTAAAATGAAATTCGGACCCGAAACTTATGATACAAGGTGGAATCCGAAATCAATTATTCAAACTATGGCCCACACATCATAATGGCCTTACAAAAGACAAAACATCATGATTCACACTTTATTTAAAGTAGAAAGATAAGATAAGATTTGAAAGTGATGTCTTATCTCTACATGTGAAAGTAAAGTAGATCCAAGCTTATCTTCATTAACACGTTTACGGTAAACGTAATAGATACGTGTAAAGATAAGGGAATCTTGCTTTAGTAGCATGTCATAATGACAGCCATTAACTAAAGCCTTTACTTTAGTCAGATCGGGTGGAGCCTGAGTAGTTCATCTGTTGTGCCTCACTCCTTGTCATACTTCCATGTAATGGGTCCCAGTAAGGATACATCTTTTTATGCATTATCATTTCTTCCATCAGATCTTCGTTGATGTTATCTGCTAGATCTTCTACTTTCTGGAAGTCTTCATCTGGGACATTCATTTCTGCTCGTGATTTGAAAAATCTTATCTCTTGGGATTTGTCTTCTTCTGGAGTGATTTGATTCAACTGGTATGTGTCAGATGGTCTTTGGGATGAACTGTTAATGTTAGGGTCTACTGGATTTGGTTGATAATGATTTATTTCACAAAGGTGATGCGCCAGTTGTGCACGGTAACTGTTATCAAGTGGATAGGTGTCAAGGCTAGCCCGTAGATAAGCTTCATTTTTTGACCAAAGGGTTCCAGCTGGATTTATGAAGTATGGACGGTGGATGATG